TTCAAAGTAGGTTCATGACTCCATCACCAATTAATAGCAAATTCATTGCAGCAATGTTCCCATCGGCGCACATCAGCGCCATTACCATACACTCTTGGTGCGTTTAGGTAGACATAAACAGATAATGAACAAGATAATAAACATAACCTGTTCGACTTCATAGCCCTATTTTGAAGTCGGTTAAACTGACACGATGAGTGAAATATCCGAGAAATCTACTTATTCATTTCTTTCATGATTCAGGTAAGGAGCGATGACAACACTGCAACTGTATAAGTAGGCCCATCAAAATGTAGGTTATATAGCTAACTTCTACGTGTTCGACTTCTACACGTATGGCTGGTTGCAGGGCACGTCAGTACCTGGCGCAGTCGTATTATGTATACATTAATATATCATGAAAATATGTATAAACATTAATGGCTATATAGTGTAGAAATGTTTGAGTAACGAGTGGGTATTTTCCTTCAGAAAGATTAGGCCAAGCCTGTTGGGAATTACAGGTTTTTAAACCATGGGTGTATGACATTAATATGTCTTTAAATGTACCATATAAAAATATTTAAAACTGAGTTCAATCTGGAGTCATACTTATAGTTTTCACCGAGAATTATAAAGATAAATGGATAAACGTGTTCTCATCGTCTTCAGTCTGAGGTTTGACGATGGACCCTTACCCCTCCCGCGGAAAGGACATGCAAGTGTAACCTGGATGAAATAGGGAGTGCATACCACGCTGTCTCACAGGGTCAACCGTTTATGAATATATCTTTAGTTAGTAGTAGTAGCTCTGTTATCTCACAAACATCTAACTGTCTAGTTGTATAACGATGTCCTCCCAGCATTGAACTAAGCACATTTTGTCCTGCTTCATGATCAGTTCTCTTCCGATTCTATTACCTATCTCCAATGATTCCTTCCCAGATCTGATATAAGTGAGATGCTATTATAAGGGAATTATAACCCACACGTTTTACGGGGAAAATACGACTACAAATACATATGAAGTATTGCGTTTGTCGGCGTTGTGGATGGCTTAACATTAAAAGAGCTGATAGAGCAGTTTGGGGTCGGACAAGTTGGTTGCCAGCGCTTGCATCATCTGCGACCGGCAGTCGACAGTTTTTCAAGGCTTTTCAGTGCAGCATGTGGATGTCGTCAGCAGAATCAATATTTACTTCCGAACAAAGCTTTCGTGTCGGGTGGTAGCGTGTTATATGTATTGACATCAGGTCTTGTGGATGACGTAACAGTTACATTTTGTGATAGTAGTCCATTAATTATGTTATATGGTAAACACAGGTCCTTGTTATATGGTAAACACAGGTCCTTGTTATAATAGTAAACACAGGTCCTTGTTATAATGGTAAACACAGGTCCTTGTTATGTGGTAAACACAGGTCCTTGTTATGTGGTAAATACAGGTCCTTGTTATATGGTAAACACAGGTCCTTGTTATAATAGTAAACACAGGTCCTTGTTATAATGGTAAACACAGGTCCTTGTTATAATAGTAAACACAGGTCCTTGTTATAATGGTAAACACAGGTCCTTGTTATAATGGTAAACACAGGTCCTTGTTATAATGGTAAACACAGGTCCTTGTTATAATGGTAAACACAGGTTCTCTGTAGGCATTCACAACCAGAACACTCTACATGACCGACTCTTGAATGTCATCAAGACCTTGATACACAGCATAACAGAGCCTTTCAAATGCAGGCGTTTCGTTCGGGGTGTTTGCTCAAACAAAATCCGAATATCAACATTAAAATATACAGAGAAGCACAGATATTCGAAAAACGATTGACAGTCTGTCAAATGTTCTTTTCATGCTTTCATGCCAAGGAGTACTGTGTTTGGGGTAGTTGTATCACAAATTTAAACAAATACTAGAAAAAACACGTTAAAGTTAAACAGCGAAATTGTTTCTCGTAACTATAGCTAGGAAATTATTTGAAGTGAAACTACCATCAGTTTGAACCTACTTTCTTTATTATCGTGCAGTTATTAAAAATTAACTCACCAAAGTACTTGTAAATGACAAAAATTATCTGTCAATACCTCAATAAATGCTTTTAATGACATCACAACCAAAGGAGGTCCTCACAATATGGCTCCGTGTATAAAGTTGGGTTGGGAGTAGTAACACAGATGTATAGTTTCTTTCTTATTTACTCTAATCAAGGTGTTTGACGTGTGCATTTCAATTAAATGTTCACAAAATATACCGAACATTACAACAACCTGCTGACATAATACTTTGAACCCATCTGTGCCTTTAATTATCGATATATTCAATGTCTAAATTGAATTCTACCATGACTTCAGTAAATACTGGATTGTGATTGGTTAATTAAAGTCATTCAGAGGTATATAATCACGTTATATACCTCTGATTTTCCAACACAGTATGTATTCTTTTTAATCTTAATAACACAGTTACGGTAGAATGGAGATAAACATACTGTGTTGGAAAATCAGAACTATGTGATGAAATTATAATAGCTCTAAATTTAAAAACAAAAAACGAAATTATCGTTATACACCTCTGATTTTCCAACACAGTATGTTTATCTCCTAATTCCACTTTATAATACGTTTTGTACTTAAGAGTCTCGCAATGACATTAACCGATGTGAAACGTGTACATTATCCAAAGGCAGGCGATCTCTTCAGACCACAAGTTGCCGTTCGTCCCCAGAATATGCGGAAGTAACAGGTTGAAGAAGAAATGGAATGTGCTCAGGGCAAATCTCATTTATGCAAATTAATAAACTATGTTAAAATGATCAAACAATGAAAATACACAGTGAAAACACACACACACACACACACACACACACACACACACACACACACACACACACACACACACACACACACACACACACACACACACACACACACACACACACACACACACACACACACTTAAAGGACCATTACTCCCAGTGACACCAAGAGTCAACGTAGTTATTCGGTGTTTGTTGCCTATAGTGCTAGCTGGGATGTCGGAGCGAGCTGTGCGTGAGACAAGGCTTCTGTCTGAGACCCCTACCATCACGCCTGAGGGGGCACGGCAGGTGTCCCTGCTTGACCCCCAGTCCTGTATCAATACCCATGTTTGCTAGTTGGAAACCTGTTAATGTTTACTTTATGAGTATTTGCCAAGTTTGTCCTATAATTTATATAGTGGGACCATTACTCAAATATAGGACAACGAAAACACTACATAGGCTTAACTAATGTAACGGTAAATAGACTTGAAATAGACTGATTATAATACACCTACTTTCATAATGTAAACTGTAGTAGTAAATAACGTGGACAAGTTGGTACTCCATTTGGTCAAAAAAGTTTGCTTTAACAAGTTCAAGGTTCTGTGCGACAAAGCGATGGTTGCTGGCTACTAACTAAGTCTCTGCTCCCATGACTTTGACATAGATGTAAGGCAGTTTTAGTCACACACACACACACACACACACACACACACACACACACACACACACACACACACACACACACACACACACACACACACACACACACACACACACACACACACACACACACACCCGAATACACACACTCCCCACCCAACACACACAAACACACACTCACTCACACACACTAACACACACACACACAAAACCAATGGGGAGATTGGGGCAGGAACTGCTGCCTCCAGCGCCCAAATCACTAGACACACACAACGGGCAACACACTCTATATTGCACGATGTGATAGTGTGTTTTATGCAATGAAAAGAAATAAATACACTCATATGAACGTTGATAAGGATATTTGTACGTAAAAACCTGGGCCTAGTTATAATGCACTTTCCTGAGTTGACAGCTGCGATGCTCTCGGTAACCAAGTTATTCAGGTCGGTATTCAGATTAATCAATCGAAGTGTAACGAGAGACAGATCTCAACTTAATATAGATACACTTGGGGTCGTTATTTAAAACGTGTAGTACCGTCTCACAAGTTTCACTTGAAAAGTATCTGAGTGACTTGAGGGTCTGTTAAAACCAACAGTATATATCCATTTTCAAGTGTTCCTACAGCGGTAAGGACAGAGAGGCAAACAGTTTCCAGACACCCGGTGTTCTATTATGTGTTTCATATAGATACTGGGTTCGAATCCCGTCTGCGTCATACTGTCAAAAGACATCAAAATATCACCGAGCCTAGATAAAACAAGCACTGTCCGGCTTGGAGTCAGTATGGGGCGGTATGGTAACTCACTGGGTTCAGACCACAGAACTGGCGTTCATACCAACTGGTACATGCAAGCAGACACACAAGCACAAACACAAGCAACACGTGCACATACAAACACATGCACAAATTCAAACACACGTGTATGCACACACACAAACCACATACATGCATGAAAGTACACAGAAACACAAACACGCGTACACACACATACACGAACAAACACACACACATACACATACACACACACACACACACACACACACACACACATGCAGGTCGCTGTACAGGTTCTGCAGTTTTAAATACAGATTAACTCATTTCGCCATCTCACCCTTCCCATTTTCCCACTCCTGTATATCCGTCTTCATGCACGTAAAACAACGTCTACATTTGTTGGGTTACAATTGCTCACAGTCGGGGGGTGATTGCGTCATCTGTGTTGTCACCATCATATTGTACTCTACAGCCATGGAAGTGTAGTCCGTACAGCTATATCAGTATGTGTAGTGCTGGTATTCCATAATCACACTAAGCTGTATTTAGTGTAAGGATTATGGCCTAGCGTAAAATGAAATACTTTGGGTATACAGATACACATGGTACACGCGCTGAGCTAATTAACATCGTACGTAACATTAACTTAGAATTATAATTTTAATATACATTAGTTATCCGTCTCTACCACTATACACTTATCTAAATGTGACATTATTAAAGACAGTTTTAAGCAATAAGAAAATGATAACAGTCCATACATGAAATACACTCACTAGTTTTCCCCCGCCTAGAAGATGTCCACTATCTGCCAACTGTTGTATCGATGTGACTGCTACAGGTAACAGCGTCTGTGACGACACAGCGACGGCTTGCGTATCGAGTTGTGCCGCTCTGTTCAGTCGCTTAAATCAGTGTTTACATCCGGGTGCCCGCCTTAGCGGTGAATGCGTTTGTGAGAGCGCATGACGAGGCAGATTTGGGGAGGAAAATTGCAGGTTTTTCTGGAAGAGTTTAAACAGTACAGATATGAATGGCGTAATATTACAATCGTTTCTGCCTTGTCATGATTCATGTGAGTAATGCATTTTGCGAGTATATTCATGTGAACAATCACACGTGTTTTACCAAATTATGTCCCTTTTTTGTTTGTGTGCATTTCTATTGTTTCCTACTATTTGGTACATTTCCCTCAATTTTATTATTTATCTATTTTTTTATTATTTTGATCGGTTAGTTTGTTTGTTTTTTCAGTTTAGCAACGGGTAAGACCAAAGAAATATAAACTTACACATAGAGAGGGTAACTTCAACGACATTAATTACTGTCTAAAAACACGCGCTCCCTTCTTATGTTATAAAAACGGTTCCAGTTTCAGGGGTAGTTTTCTTTACATCACAACTGCGCTATCCGCTCTTGGGTTAGAATTAAAAGTCACGGTGTTATAAAGAAACTAGATTTTATGACGGGAGATATTACAGACTCCAGCGAATGTTTCTGACATATGTATACACCGATGTTACCACAGTGCCATACTTATCCATCGATCTTTATTTGATTGTATTGTTTTAAAAATAAACTGAAGTCCATATTTTAAAATGTTAGTGTCCCATATATGGCTACATGGTAAAAATACGTTTCGGGCGATCTGTACGTGTTTAATTTATCACACGCCACTTACCAAGTCTGTATGTGCGTCTCTGTCTGTCTGTCTGTCTGTCTGTCAGTGTTGGTGAGTTACTGTTTATACCAGGTACTAATGGCTGAAGGAGACAGAAAACTAGATGCTTTCCGTTAGACTTTACACTCTCCACATATCGTTCAATAACAAGATTAAGACTCTATCGATCTCTTGTAAGTTCTTGCTATCACCTAAAAAACCCATCGTGATAAATCATGTGAGCGTTCGGGGAGCAACTTATCGCGCTGTGCAGAGTTGCGTCCCTTGACGGTGCTTCGCATCTATGAATTCTTAACGTAGATCAGAATAGCATTTTTGTTATAATTTAGATGCCAATAAATGTTGAGAGATGGTTGTGGGAATGTTGTCACCGGCGCTGAGAAACAACACTGGGACATCTCTACTACAGTTTTGTAGCAACTTCAAAGTAACGACCCCCTAACGATCGCTCAAGGCAACAGCTGGGCTGTAACTGTAGGTAGTTGACTGAACAACCCAGGGAGATAATAACAGAACTACACAGTAGGCTATATCGTATTTACTGTGATATCAATAGAAAATAAATAGACACTGAGAATCAATTGTGAAATTAATAACATAGATTCAATTGCCGTATGTTTTGTAAAGACATTGTAATAAATCATTGATCTCACAACGTTCGATTAGGTACATATCTCACAAATGATTCACTGATAGTTTACCAACAGTTCATCGAGAGTTCATGTACAGAGAGGCCAACACCTCGGTGATTTCACTCTCAGGACGTGCACGTGTGCGTGATGAAAGCAGCAGTCCATGACAACTGCATCTGGAAACAAATACCATTGTATGATTATTACAAGAGATTTCAACCTCAAGCAGCTGATGCAGCTGATGCAGCTGATGCTGCTGTTGCTCCTGGTGGTGATGGTGGTGGTGATGCTGCTGCTGCTGATGATGATGATGATGGTGGTGGTGGTGTGTGGTTTTGTGTGCACAGAGTACAGGTAACAAAGTTCTAGGATGAGTGACCGTGTTTGGCAGTTTGGTAGTTTTGGAGTCCTGCCCCAAAACAAAGCACACGTGACACATGTGGTCTCACACAAGGCAAGTGAGTTTGTCCAAAATTACCTATGTTACCCAGCAGTCATTTGACTGTTGACATTCTGGCATCTTGACAGCAGGGTTAACCTCAGTAAGTATCGTGGCGCTTGGAGGATGGATACAGGCGCTTTGTCCATTATTTATTATCAAGCTACTGAGGACATAACCGAGAACTTGAGCAAACATGTATTCGCAGGAACATGTGAAGTTTTGTTATCAACAAAAGCTGCTTAGATTTTGATCAGTTTCGGGCAAGCTGTTTTCAGAAGAGCAATCCAGTAGGGACATCCCACTTGTTGCGTTGGGGGTAGTCGTATGTACACATAACCAATCTCTCCACTTTAACAAATGGGAGATCTCCCGTCAATCGATCGAACATTTCGGCCTGGCAGATGCTTAATCACGCCATATTTGTACAGGTGTCCAGTTCAACGGAGCCCAAGTACCTCGGATACAGTACTCCAGAGTATGCAAGTTGAATCTAGCTGGAAATGACAGCTCCTCAACGTAGACACATACAGGGATACTTTATTCCCTGGCGAAAACCTTTATTTCTTCTGTATCTGATTAGTCATGTTGTTTGTTGTGAGACACTGCATGGTCGCACAGCCTGTGATTGAGTTGTTGGCCAGCTGACTGACACAGAAAACTGACTGACTGACTGAGTTTGGTTTTACGCCGCTTTTAGCAATATTCCAGCAACATCACGGCGGGGGGACACCAGAAATGGGCTTCACACATTGTACCCATGTGGGGATTCGAACCCGGGTCTTCGGCGTGACGAGCCAACGCCAAGAAGAAGAAGAAGAAGAAGAAGGTGATGACGAAGAAAAAATATAGTTTATTGCTGTTTCACTTGCTGAATTACAATAAAAGACATTTCGTCGCTCCAGAGATCTAATAACAGCATCTGGTCACATGGCCTAGGAGACACAAACATCACAGTTATATATAAACGTTGATAATCTAAACACACACACACACACACACACACACACACACACACACACACACACACACACACACACACACACACACACACACACACACACACACACACACACACACACACACACACACACACACACACACACACACACACACACACACACACCGTGGTGGTAAGCCAAATCTCACCAACTACTTTAGCAGTACATTATTGTAACTGCTATGTTTGTTGTTACTGAATTTGAAAATGTACTGCTGAACCTAGACCAACGTTTAGTCTCTAAAAAAATAAAATTTTGATAAAAGCAAATAGCTCCATTCATGCTGATAAGGGGCCGGACGAGTGAGCTGGGAGACCTGAGGAAAATCTCGACTTGCTTCAGTCAGGGCTTGCATGGGGCTGTGTGAGAAGGGAAATAGTGTGGTTCAGGGACTGAAAAACAAGCCATACTCATCCGACATCGTGTGCTTGTTGAAAGCAATGAGGCCGAAAGCTTCAGACAATATATTTGTACTTAGTGCTGTTATGAATCTTTAAGTCTGACAGCCTTAAGAAGAGCATGTAAAATGTCGCCTAGAGCACCGGAACATATGGTTAGTTTTGAATGGAGCTGGGAGCTCAGTATAAAGTTCTGTTAGGTGTGTCAGCTTGTGGAAGAAAGGTCTCAGGCGGCGTCTTTACCAGGGAAAGGCAAGGGTGTTCCACTTAGATCCGAACCAGTAACAAGTAATATTTTACTTAACTTTACTACACTACTCACGTTCGAGGCCGCGAAGAGGCAACGGAACAAATTAGTGGGGTCCGGCATGCTCCCCCAGGAATTTTTAAAGTTTAGATGCTCTCAGAGGCAATTTCCTGCTTTCTGAATGTAAAATGACTCCATCTATGTAATCTCCAATATCGTATAAACTATTATTTTTCCTGCTACGTTTGACCAATTTGTTTCATGTTTTTTAAAAACGTTTCTTTGTTCAAAATTGTAGCATCTGTACATAATGTTCTCAACTAAAATTTATCTTATAACAAGGTTTAGCTATATCTGTATATGTACAAAACAACTGCATGTTTTGTTCAGTTTAAGCATTAATATATAATCTAGTTGTATTAAAAAAATCAGTTGAAAGTCCAGAAACTGCACGTGAAATTTACATCATATACATGATATCTTCAGGTTCAATATTTTGGAGTCATGTGGATTGAATGCAATCTTTTTTCTAATTAAGTCTTTTGTTCGTTAATTATCATTAGGTATTGCACAATATACCTTCAGTATATAGGGTTCCGGGTAGTCTAGCTATGTCATTGCCCTGGATTCCTAATTTTAATTTATTCATTAAGGGTTGTTGCAATTATATATATGTAATCAGCTGTATCATTCTGATACCGATCATCTGTCAGATTGTCTGCCCGCAACCTTTGCGTCAGGTTTGCGGTGAGGGTATATGACACTCAAATGAGTTATATATCAGGGAGACTATATAACGTTGTAGATTATCCCTGGTTATATCAATACTTTGATGTACAACAAATAATGTGTAAGACATGTTTATATTGTGCACACACTATTACAACTCCGTGATCCGCCTTTGAAGCCATTCCAAACTCTTCTCTTGTGTCAGTCGCGTCAATGTCAACCCACCAGTGAACAACGGCAACAATGTGGACGTCTAATGTTAAACTGGATTCTAGGGAAATTTCGGAGACGCTATTCATGTAATGGGTCATTTGAGAAGAACCTACTCCATTGTTTGTTTGCTTGTTGTTTAACGCCGCACTCAGCAATATATTCCAGCTATATGGAGGCGGCCTTTAAATAATCGAGTCTGGGCTCATCAACAGCACGAGCATCGTTCTACACAACTGGGATACGATGACATGTGTCAACCAAGTCAGCGAGCCAGACCACCCGATCCGGTTACTACCCGAATCCACTTCAGGGGAACATTCCACACAAAACGAATATAACGCAGTACACTGTGTTATGGTGGTGTGGTTGTGAATGAACTATGATGTACGTGGTATGACAGCATTTGATATAGTCTGTCGTACAGACCCTGAAGCAAATATAGATCTATCCAAGAAAGCCCACACAAGTCTAGAAAATGTGGCAAGTCTAGATTTCCTCAGCTTCTGAAAATGAAGAAAGTCTCAGGGCTCCTTTTCATTATATATATTTTTTTTTTACTATGAACTTTTTTCAGTAAAATATGTTCATTTCAGAGACTAATTGTTAGTCTACATTTGATACTGAAGTGAACAAATTCTCGACATACTATGGCCATCGACTTGTAATCTAAATTAGAGTGCTCTCCCTTGGCATATTAACACGCGATGCTTGAGAGGCCAGTGTAGATCTCTACTGTATGTTACTATGTGTCCACATATCGTGTAACGCTGTCACAAGTTTGAGGTGAGTTGAACGAATGATCAATAATATTGTAGACCATGTAGGATTAACATTTCCATGTTTAAAAAGATACATATCTGGCTTGAAGATCTAATCACTGATCCTTATTGACCTTCATGCAGTTCCTTGATTCAGTCACCCATCCATTCACCAGGCACACCGGTCAGCATCAGGTCACTCTACAGTTGAGTGGGCCCGGTGGCATGAGAGGGAGTTTACTGTTGTTAGTGTGCAAAATATACCGGCGAACCCCATTAGTTTCAGTTTTCTTGTTTTAGTGGACTGTCAGAACGACACATCGAATTATTCCTGACCAATACTTGGGACGACGAATTTGTGAAGGGTCAGTCATAGACATGATAGAAGACGGATTAATATACGTGGACAGTCCAGCACAAGACGTGGTCTGACACTAGTGACAGGGAGCCTGTGCAAGGTATGATACTATAAATACTTCATTGTTTATCTCAGAGCCTAGCGTCAGCTCATTCCCTTGTCCTTTCTGTAACTGACAACTGCAGGTTTGATTTAGAACATAGTGAATATGAAAAAAATGAAATTGTTGAACATTTCAGTCTATGTTTTACCAATTATTAGTTTTATGGGCCCTTGCTGGCAATATGAGAGCCCTGTGAAGTAACAGTGTAGAGAACTGTATGTTTTGATATTTT